AGCCTCTGTACCTGCACGGACAGAAGTGGGATGGCCTTCAGCTTAGCAAGTATATCTGGGTCTGGATCAACTTGGAAATGCTCGGGCATCTGTAGAGTGAAATCAATAGTCTCGATCCAGTTTATAGCTTTTTCTACGTGTTGTATGCTTTTCATCGCCCTGTGCCACTTTTTCATTACACCCAACGTCTCGGTAGTGTATGCTCCAACACCGATTACTTCCACCGCAATTTCTTGTTCGCCTAGATTTACACCTGATGAATTCTGCAGGGCTGAGACTTTGGCGCTGCACTTCTCAATGAAGTCCTTGCGAAATACACGGGTATGGATTCCACAGGATAAATTTTCTTCGCCGGTGGTAAGCTCGCTCTCTCGTGGGCTACAGGAGCCCTGGGAGTTTTACTGAAATCATACAGCTTGAATCGCGATAGGGTAGCGGCAGATGTATCGTATGTAGGCACGCCTTTCAACAGCATCTCGCACTGTAGCCAGGCTCAAATTCGCCGCGTACAAGTCTGAGTCCTCCTGGACGATCGTGGCATTCTTTCTACGAGCAGCTTTCTTCGACTTTGCTGTTTGCTTTGGGCGCCCGCGGGATCTAGGAGGGCTCGCTACGTGAAATTCTTCATTCCCTACTTCTGGAAGAGTTGATGTCAACTCTCGAGTTTTCGATTCAAGATGTTTGCCAGACTGAGTGCCAGACTCGCCAGACTGAGTGCCAGACTCGCCAGACTGGATGCCAGACTCGCCAGACTGGATGCCGAACTCGCCAGACTAGGTGTCAGACTCCTCGACTTGGCTGTTCTCAATGGCTGAGCTCGCTTCAGCTGGCTGGGTAGAAGAAGGAGAGTCTGATAGCTGATCGTTTTGGTTTTGACTGGATAAGGTGCCGAAGTCACAATGCTTAAACCGACGAGCAACATCCTTCAGATACTCCATCGCTTCTCGGTATTGTGCCATTCCCAATCCAGACATCGAACCACAAATTTCACTAGCGATAGGCAGCGCCTCACGATATTTGCGGTTTGAGTCCCAAGGTCGATCATCCGTCGCCACAACCCGACGAATAGCGAAAGATTCGATAGACGTACAGTTGTCACTTGAGCTCTCGAACTCTATCGAGGACCTAACAGAAGACAATATCCACCGACGATTGAGAAGTTGTGTCGGGATAACAGTTTCTTTGCCGAGTGCTCTTCTCAGAAAGTAAACATGACGACACGGCAGCAAACGCGTGCTCATAAAGAGGCACGAACAAGTCCAGTTTGCCCAAGAAATAGTATACTCGGTCTCACTTTCGTCAAGGGCATCTTCCTCGGTGCTTGTGCTCTTCACAATATAGACGCCCGGGCTCCGTTCCGAAAAATTGTATGATGCACGGCCAAGTGCGTTTACGTATTGGTCTTGTATCAGCTCGCACGCGTGTTCGCTGACAAGGTTAGCCACGAGAGTCATTTCTTGGTCGTATCCAACATGCTGAATGTTAACCTTCTTGTAGACTTCATCCATGAAACGTCGTTCTTGAAGCGTTTGATAGTACATGATAGACGCAATGCATTCGTCCACAGCCATGAACAAATTTACCCACTCTTTCAACTGCTTCCAGGATGCCTCCAATCTATTATTGGTGCTATTGCCGAGCGTGACGGTGTTTTGCTGCTTGTGTGCACACCATAACTTACGACAATTATCCCAGTTTTTGATGAAATAGGCAGCAAACGGGTGGGTGGTGGGTTCATTTGTCGCAGCAGCCACATCCGCGGGTGCAACGGAGTTTGGAGCCAGATTCTGCCCGACTGGAGCCAGATTCACCCCGACCGAAGTGGGGGTCGATCTGTCCTGCCCGATTGAATCTGAAGACCTTGAACGACCAACCTCGCACACATGCAGCATATACCGGAAATGCCCCATGTATTCCTTCTCCGTCTTCGCGTATACCAGGAGGTCCATGAGCCCTCGCAGCTGATCCCTCTCCCACGTGTTGCAGCCGTAATCCGATGATGAAATTTCCTTCCTCAAGTACTTTAATACGTGAAACTGGCAGAGTAGAATAGTCACGCCGGGGAATGCTGTCTTCAAAACAGAAAGCTCCGTAAAGTCCTTGTCGATGAGCACGCACTGAAGACGCGTCCAAGCCGGGTTATTCGTCTTAAATTCTTCCAGTGCAGTCAACAATGTTCTCCACTGCTCGTTGTGGAGTAGGGCATGCTGCACAAACTGGCCTTTTCCAAAAGTGTCGTGTGCCATGAAAGAGAAGACCTTGTACTTGGATCAATTGGTTCCATGCGTTGCGTCAATTAGAAGTACCTCCGGAAATTGAGTGAAGATCGATCGCATGTGTTTGGTTTGAAGCGTAATACAGGTTGCCAATTTCTAACATAATGAAACGGTTAGACAGGCAATAACGAAATTAAATTTGAAACATAAACGTCGTATATCATACCTTTTCTCCCACATCGTCCACGAAGATGCGCCCCACGTTGCCAGGAACATCACCCAATTCGGACATCTACTTCTTTAACCGCTTTGAACTAGAGGTTGGGGTCAATCCTTGCTCGCGAGCCTTCAATTTGCGAACCAAATTATGAACATCCTGCGGCTTCGGATTGCTATCGGAATTGTCCTTATTAAACTTGAGGATGCTTGTCTTTTTCGCGCCAGCCTTGCGGAGCTCGTCCACTGTCTCTAAAGCACTCTCATCGAGGGACACACGGTTGGACGAGTGGCTTTTGAAAGCGTACTCGTTCAATGTGTGGTTGTGCTCAAGGTGGCACTTCGTAATCATTAGAGCAAATGTATGGGTAGCTTTGTTGATCTCTTGAACGCACACATTGATCTGAAAACAACGAGATATTGCCAACAGATATTAGCAAATTTGTCCGATCAAACCAGTCAGTACCCAATCATACCAGACCATGCCAGATTGAACCAGACCATGCCCGAATGAGCCAGACCATGCCCGAATGAACCAGACCATGCCCGATTGAATCTGGCTTCGCCTAATTGATCATGTATCTTGCACAGCACACCCGACATTCTAATTTGCAGCAGCAACATACCTGGGCAGAGCATCCAGAAGCTCGACTCTCCTGACGAGGCCTCTTACTTGTGGCTTGCGATCGGAATTTGCCGTAATGCGTACACACGTATGTTTTTGCGTACTGGTCCCACTCGTCGGGAATCTTACACGCCTTAGATCCCTGGGCATCTATCCGAGCATTCCGTACTGGAACTGAGGTGTTCGTTCTGGTACGGTAGATCTAATATTGTACCGATAACATGCCAACCAATTAGCTTAGATAACACTGAATATAATTAAAAAAGCTTCTCAACTGTACCTGGAACGACCGAGCTTGGTACTGCGCGAAGTATGCCTCGAATTCTTCCCACGACCTGAGCTGCGTCTCCCCCGGAGGCGGAGCGATGACACAGACTGGTCCGGCTTCCTCGCTAGCGCTGCTCGTCCCCGTCGTTTCCACACGAGGTGGGCTTAGTGACGGCTCCCACTCACTCAAAGAGCCGCCGGATGCGGCGCCGTCACTGGTATCGTCGCTGGCGTCTGCCAGCAGGGGGCGCTTTGAAGCGCTGCGTGGGCGCGGCGGCATTTAAGTCCGTTGGCGCCACGATATTGCTGGAAAGGGAGGATTTTTTGTGTGGGAGGGGTATACGCAGAGTATACGCTGTACCGAGTTCGGATATGGAAGATATCAGCAAATCCTAGCAAATCCGAAGATAACACAAGATTTGCTATGAGTGGGATGCTCCCAGTCTGGCAAAATACTCACTCTCTTTCGAAAATATTGCTTATTTTACAGTTAGTTTATTCAAGATATTGTTTTCGAATTTTAGCTTTTGTTTCAACAAAAAATGAAGTGGTCGACATGAACATCATCACTGTACAGTACTGCATCCCGTTTTTGCGCCCTTGTTTGATAAACTTCCGGATGTGATTTATCTGATTTCAAAAGAACAAGAGGTTGTCAGCTAAAATCTGATTTATTTGCAAATCCTATATGGTCCACCCCCGCGAGAACGGGGTGCAGTACTGTACCACGTTCATATTACCCACTATGATGCTGACAAATTGTAAGTTTACTGATTAGCATGAACGTTGGCAATGCCAACTTGGAAGTCATCACTAAACCTGCTACAGCCTCCAGCCTACAGGTAAGCTACGTGTAGGCTAGTATCAGTACGA